CTTATTATTTCAGAAAATGACATATCTTCTGGGAAAATAGAGGGCGGGTGGGCGGGCCTAGTATTTGTTAAGACAAAACTGATTTTGCCCCTATTAATCTTGTAAAGATTTCTATCGCATTTTGTTTTAGTTTTCTTTTATAGCGTTTTTGTCCCCGTTGTTGTCTCTTTTTTGTGATTTTTTTGTGTATTGTTCCTTGTTTCTTTTTGATTTCCTTCTTTTAGTAGAGATTTTTATATTTGCGTTTTTATCACCGTTTTTCTTGAGGTCTTTTTCGCATGTTTTAATTTTTTTCTGTTTTTTTTTCGCCTTTTGTAGTCGGTTTTTGTTGTTTTTTAAATTTTTTATATTTGGTTGATTTTGTTCCATTTTCTACTCTTCGTTGTTTTTTTTTTACCTTTTTGAATCGTCTTTTTTTGTTACTCTTTTTTATCGGCTCCTTTTTTTAGTCACTTTTTGTCGTCATCTTTTTTGGTATTTGTATATGAACATTTATTTAATCTCTGTTTTCTTATTTACTGTTGTATTTTCTTTTGTGTTATTTTTCTATTTGGTTTTTGTAGCTATAATTTTGTCTTCTTTGTCATTTTTTGTTGTAGCTACTTTTTATAGCGTTTTTGTCTTCGTTTTTGTCTCATTGTTTGTAATTTCCTTTGTCTATTTTTTCGACTTTCTTCTTTTTTTTTTGATTGCCTCCTTTTAATCAGATTTTTATATTCGCGTTTTTAGCACCCCTTTTTAAATCACTTTTTCTTGGGGCCTTTGTCACATGTTTAATGATTTTTGTTTTTTATTTTAATTTTTTTTCCTGTTCTTTTCCCTTTTTGTAATCGGTTTTTGTTGTTTTTTCACTTTATTATATTTGGTTGATTTTGTTCCATTTTTTACTTTTCGTTGTGTTTTTAATTCTTTTTTAATCGTCTTTTTACTTCAATAGGGGCAAAATCAATCTTACCTTAGCAAGTACTAGCCCCGCCCACCCGCCCCCTAGTTTCTCAGAGGATGTCATCTGCCAGAATCAGTCTTACCTTAGCAAGTATTAGCCCCGCCCACCCGCCCCCTATTTTCTCAGAGGAAATGTCATTTGCCAATATAAGACTTATATTAGCAAGTACTAGCCCCGCCCACCCGCCACCTATTTTTTCAGAGTACATGTCATTTGCTAAAATAAGCTTTATCTTAGCAAGTATTAGCAAGTACCACGCTCTGAGAAAATAAAGGGCGGATGGGCGGGGCTAATACTTGCTAACTTAAGTCTTACTTTGGCAGATGACATACCCCTGAGAAAAAAGGGGGTGGGTGGGCGGGGCTGGTACTTGGCAAGACAAGATTGATTTTGGCAAATGACATCCTTTGAGAAAATAGGGGGCGGGTGGGCGGGTCTAGTATTTGTTAAGACGAAACTGATTTTGCCCCTATTAATCTTATAAAAACTTCTGTCGCATTTTGTTGTAGTTTTCTTTTATAGCGTTTTTCCTCCTCGTTTTTGTCTCATTTTTGTGATTTTTTTGTGTATTGTTCCTTCTTTTTTTTTTGATTTTCTTCTTTTAGTAGAGATTTTTATATTCGCGTTTGTCACCGTTTTTCTTGAGGTCTTTTTCGCATTTTTCTGTTTTTTTTTTTCGCTTTTTTGTAGTCGGTTTTTGTTGTTTTTTCACTTTTTTATGTTTGGTTGATTTTGTTCCATTTTCTACTCTTCGTTGTGTTTTTTTGTCGTTTTTGGATCATCTTTTACTATTATTCTTTTTTATCGGCTCCCTTTTTTTAGTCACATTTTGTCCTGATTTTTTTCGTATTAGTATATGAAGATATATTTAATCTCTGTTTTCTCATTCATTGTTGTATTTTCTTTTGTGTTATTTTTCTAAATGGTTTTTGTAGTTATAATTTTGTTTTCTTTGTCGCTTTTTGTTGTAGCAATTTTTTAAAGCGTTTTTGCCTTCATTTTTGTCTCATTTTTTGTGATTTTCTTTGTCTATTTTTTCGATTTATTTCTTTTTTTTGATTCCCTCCGTTTAGTCAGATTTTTACATGTTTAATGATTTTTGTTTTTTATTTTAATTTTTTTCTGTTTTTTTCCCTTTTTGTAATCGGTTTTTGTTATTTTTTCACTTTTTTATATTTGGTTGATTTTGTTCCATTTTTTACTCTTCGTTGTGTTTTTAATTCTTTTTTAATCGTTTTTTTACTTCAATAGGGGCAAAATCAATCTTACCTTAGCAAGTACTAGCCCCGCTCACCCGTCCCCAATTTTCTCAGAGGATATCTCATCTGCCAAAATAAGACTTGTTAGCAAGTATTAGCCCCGCCCACCCACCCTTTACTTTCTTAGAGGGTATGTCATTTGCCAAAATCAGTCTTATCTTACCAAATACTAGGCCCACCCACCCGCCCCCTATTTTCTCAGAGGATATGCTATTTGCCAAAATAAGACTTATTTTAGTAAGTACCAGCAAGTACCACCCTCTGCGAAAATAAAAGGCGGGTGGGCGGGGCTTGTTAACATAGGTCTTATTTTTGCAGGTGACAAATCCTATGAGAAAATAGAGGGCGGGTGGGCGGAACTAGTACTTGTTAAGAAAAGACTAAATTTGGCACATGACACACCCTCTAAGAAAGTAAAGGGTGGGTGGGCGGGGCTAATACTTGCTAATAGAAGTCTTTTTTGGCAGATGACATATCCTCTGAGAAAATAGAGGGCGGGTGGGCGGGACTAGTACTTGCTAAGATAAGTCTTATTTTGGCAGATGACATATCTTCTGAGAAAATAGGGGGTGGGTGGGCGGGGCTACCTCGTGTTAAGAAAAGACTGGTTTTGGCAAATGATATACTCTCTAAGAAAGTAAAGTGTTGGTGGACGGGGTTAGTACTTGTAAAGAATAGACGGATTGTATTGATGTACTTTAGGTGCGAGGAAAGTTCTCTCGAAACAGCTTTGGACCAATTGTTTGTACTCCCTTTCGTCGCCTTCTTTGACTTTTTTTTTAGTCGCATTTTTTGTCGCGATTTTGGCCCCCTTTTTAGTAACTTTTTATTTACTGTTTTCGCATTTCTTGTTTTTTTGTCACTTTGTACTCGCCTTATTTGTTGTATTGTTTGGACTTTTTATTACGTTTTTGCCCGTCTTAATCGCCTTTATTATGGATCTTTATCGTCTTTTCGTAGCGTCTTGTTATCTCCCTTTTTTTGTCCTCGTTTTGTGGCAATTTTTGACCCTTTTTAGCCTTTTTTCGAATGTTTTTAATGATTTTTTTTATTTTGTTTTTTGTAGCGTTTTTTGTTGTTTTTGACGTCTCTTTTGTCAATGTTTGTATCGCCTTTTTGTCAATTTTTTTGTCCTCTGTTTTCGCATTTTTTGTCGCCTTTTCCTGTATTCTACGTTTCTCTGGTGTTAAGTGGTTTTTCTCCTCGGTTTTTATCGCTTGGTTGTTCTGTGAACCTTTTATCTCTTTTTTGCACTTTGTTTCATATTTTTTTTGACAAATTTGATTGTGGCGTTTTTTATTTTTTTATGATTTTTTTTGTTCTTACATTTTTTGTTACCTTTTTTGGAAACTGTTTCCATTTTTTAAATTTATTTTTTGTGAATTTTGTATAGCCGTTTTTTAATTGTCTTTACTGTTTGTATTCGCTTTCTTTGTTGATTTTTTTCCTTTTTTATGGATTAAATGGACACCTTTGGTATTTTTACCTTTAATAAACGTTCTTTTTCTCTTTTGTTGCTTTTTTTGCAGCATTTTCGTCCTTTTTTGCCCCGTTTTCGATATCTTTTTTCATTGTATTTTTTGTTCTGTTTTCACATTTTTGCACACTGTTTATTTGTTTGTCGATTTTTTTAAAGTCATTTAGACGGGTAGCCATCTCGACGCGTTGCAACGGTTCCAGAAGCTCGAATTTGCGCCAAAAACTGGAGCGTGCCCGCTTATTGTCGCTCTCATTATTTAAACAGTCATTTCCTCCTCGAAAATATTCTTTTCCCGATTGGTTAAGTCGTTTACAGCGCCATCCGATCTTGATTGGTCGTTATTCTAATTTCCTTATCTTTATAGCCCCGTATCCTCGGAGCCATTTCGCATTATTCTAAGTAGACAAACACTTCAATATCGCCGCCCATGATTTATAACCCCATAAAACGCTCTTCCATAATATCCTCCACATGACGAGTCCACATTACCCATAAAAATAAATCAATTATTATCCAGCCCGAAACCGGAATTAAAACGCAACGGCCGATTTCGGCCGCTCCCTCCGCGACAATGAAAAATTATGGTTTTGTCTCTTTTAAAGCGTCGCCGTCCCCGGGGAAATACCTTGTTTGGTAGACAGGGCGGCATGCATTATTCGTCAATTTGGATGTTTCTGGAGGTCTCCCAATGAAACATGGAGCTCTCCTGCGTTTTTGGTATCGATTGTTGCACAGATAGGGATCAATTTTCCAGAAATCGCGTTTACGGCGGTAATTATCGGGAATTGATAAATTCCGACTTTATCAGATTTGGGGATACGAGGGGAACGCTAAAAATAAGCGGTGTTTTCGATGCCGCTAATTCGACAGGGAATGTTTTAATTTGGCAGGTGAAGAGCGCTGTGGAATTTTCGTTGGATGCAAGTGCAGCTTTTGCGACTGCACAGGGGGATTAGTCCGGGAGAAAATCCGGTTTTATGAGGAGGAGGACCGGATTTTGGGATTAGTGCAAGTGGGTTTGAATGCATTTCGTGAAATATTTTTTAAAAATATACAAAAAAGTCTCGATGAAAATTTTATAATGAAATGGGTGTTTATTGAAATCCAAACCCCGAAACCACGTAACCCAATTTCGCTAACTCGGGCGCATCATAATCCAAATCCCTCCCTCTCCACCCACGTTAATACTAACACCCTCTCCCCACATAAAACTCCTCGTTAAAACTTTCCCTGTTCTAACACAAAATAAAACTTTTGCTCCCGTCTTTAAAACCACCTATCGCCCCTCATCCAGTAATTGTTGTTCTTGTTTCAGGTTGTTCATCGGCGCCTCCTTGTGTTGCGCGTTTATTCGTGTGTCGGGAGAATGCTAGCCGGGCGTCCAGTGGCGGAGTGTTGTGTGAATCCCCGAGGGATCTCCGACTAGGCGAAAAGAGGATATCGGCCATGTCTTTCGGCGGAGCTTAGACGGATAAAAGGTGAGTCTTCCAACGCTCGACGTGATCAAGTGGCGGCGCCGGATTTACTCGCAATTTTCGTCGGGCGGTTCCGGAGAGCGGCACGTGATTGGCTTATCGGATCGGGGATAATTAGGGATGTCGGGGAAGATTAATGGGATTGGATTATCACAGGTCGTACTTAATCTAAATGCGATATTAAAACCAACTATAATTTGTCATGAAATGAACAAAATTACGTATGAAGAGAGAATTCTAAAATAAAAATTTCAAAAATTTCCCAAAAAAATGGTCAAATCGGTTCAATCGACCGAAAATTGCTGCCAAATTGTCGATAATCATTCGGCAGTTACAAATCTCAAATCTCAAATTCAGTAAATACGAAAAATGAATTAAAAATTTTCAAAAATTTCCCAAAAAAATGGTTCAAATTGGTTCAATCCACCGAAAATTGCTGTCAAATTTTAGATACTTTTTCATCAGACACAAATTTGAAATCTCCGTCGGGATATGTTTCAATAAACACGAAAAATGAATTAAAAATTTTCAAAAATTTCAGAAAAAAATGGTTAAAATTGACTCAATCGACGGAAAATTGGTGCCAAATTCTAGATAATCTTTCATCAGATACAAATATGAAATCGCCGCCAGAATATGTTTCAATAAACACGAAAAGTATTTTAGAAGTTTTCAAAAATTTTCCAACAAAATGGTTAAAATTGGTTCAATCCGCTGGAAATTGGTGTCAACTTGTAGATACTCGTCTGCCAATTACAAATCCGAAATCGTCTTCACGACATCTGTTGAAACAAAAGTGAAATATTATTCCAAAATTTTCAGAATTAAAAAAAAATGGTTAAAACTTGCTCTATCCACTGAAAATTGGTGTCAAATTGTAGATAATCTCCCGCCAATTACAAATCCGAAATCGCCGTCATGATATCTGTTTCAATAAACACGAAAAGTGAAAACAAAATTTCCAAAAATTTTTCAAAAAATGGGTACAATGGGTTGAATTGACTGAAAATTGGTGTGAAACTGTGTATTATCCTGTGACAGTTACAAATCTGAAATCGTTGTCAGGATATCTGTTCCAATAAACACGAAAAGTGAATTCAAAATTTTTGAAAATTTTCCAAAAAAATGGTTAAAATCGGTTCAATCCACCGAAAATTGCTGTCAAATTTAAGATAATTTTTCATCAGATACAAATTTGAAATGGCCGTCGGGATATGTTTCAATAAACACGAAAAGTGAATTAAAAATTTTCAAAAATTTCCCAAAAAAAGTGGTTACAATTGTTTCAATCGATGGACAATTTATGCCAAGTTCTAGATAATCTTTCGTCAGATACAAATATGAAATCGCCGTCAGAATATGGCCCAATAAACACGAAAAGTATTTTAGAAACTTTCAAAATTTTCCAAAAAAATGGTTGAAATAGGTTCAATCCACTGGAAATTGGTGTCAAATTGTAGATACTCTGCCGCCAGTTACAAATCCCAAATTGTCTTCACGACATCTGTTGAAATAAAAGCAAAATATTATTCCAACATTTTCAAAATTAAAAAAAAAAATGGCTAAAATCGGTTCAATCCGCTGGAAATTGGTGTCAAATTGTAGATAATCTTCCCCCAATTACATATCCGAAATCGCCGTCATGATATCTGTTTGACTAAATTCGAGAAGTGAAAACAAAATTTCCAAAAATTTTTCAAAAAAATGGCTAGAATGGGTTGAATTGACTCAAAATTGGTGTAAAACTGTATATTATCCTCTGCCAGTTACAAGTCTGAAATCGTTGTCAAGATATCTCTTCCAATAAATACGAAAAGTTAACTCAAAATTTTTGAAAAGTTTCTAAAAAAATGGTTAAAATCGGTTCAATCCACGGAAAGTTGCTGTCAAATTTAAGATAATTTTTCATCAGATACAAATTTGAAATCGCCGTCGGGATATGTTTCAACAAACACGAAAAGTGAATTAAAAATTTTCAAAAATTCTCCAACGAAAAATGGTAAAAATCCGTTCAATCCACTGAAAATTGGTGTCAAACTGTAGATTTTCTTCCGCCAATTATAAATCCGATTTCGTTTTCGAGATATCTATTGAAATAAAATTAAAATATGGTTCCAAAATTTCCAAAATTTTTCAAAAAAATGGTTAAAACTGGCTATATCCACTGAAAATTAGTGTCAAATTGTAGATAATCTTCCGCCAATTACAAATCCGAAATCGCTGTCACGATATCTGTTTCAATAAACCCGAAAAGTGAAATCAAAAATTCAAAAAAATGGCTAAAATGGGTTTGATCGGCTGAAAATTGATGTAAAACTGTGTATTATCTTCCGCCAGTTACAAATTTGAAATGCTGTCAGGATATCTGTTCCAATAAGGACGAAAAGTGAATTCAAAATTTTGAAAATTTTCCAAAAAAATTGTTAAAATTAGTTAAATCGTCCGAAAATTGCTGTCAAATTTTAGATAATCTTTCATCAGATACGAATTTCAAATCGCTGTCGGGATGTTTCAATAAACAGGAGAAGAGATTTCAAAATTTTCAAAAATTTTCCAAAAAAACAATGGTTAGAATCTGTCCAATCCACTAAAGATTGGCGTCAAATTGTAGATACTCTTCCGCTAATTACAAATCTGAAATCGTCAACATGGCATCTACTCAAATGAAAGTAAAATATGATTTCAAAATCCAAAATTTTTCAAAAAAATGGTAAAAATTGGCTCAATTCGCTGAAAATTGGTGCCAATTTCTAGATAATGTTTCAACATTCAGAAATCTGAAATCGGCGTCACGATAATAAATACGAAAAGTGAATTAAACATTTTCAAAAATTTTCCAAAAAAATGGTTAAAATTGGTTCAGTCGACCGGAAATTGGTGTCAAATTGTTGGTAATCTTCCGCCAATTACAAATCCGAAATCGCCGTCACGATATCTGTTTCAATAAACACGAAAAGTGAAGTCAAAATTTCGAAAAATTTTTCAAAAAAATTGCTAAATTGGGTTCAATCGACTGAAAGTTGGTGTAAAACTGTATATTATCTTCCGCCAGTTACAAATCTGAAATCGCTGTCAGGATATCTGTTCCAATAATCACGAAAAGTGAATTCAAAATTGTTGAAAATTTTTCAAAAAAATGGTTAAAATTGATCCAATCGACCGAAAATTGCTCTCAAATTTTAGATAATATTTCATCACATACAAATTTCAAATCGCTGTCGGGATATGTTTCAATAAGCATGAAAATTGATTTCAAAATTTCAAAAAATTTTCCAAAAAAAAAAAATGGTTAAAATCGGTCCAATCCACTGAAAATTTGGTAAATTTGTAGATAATTCTTCCGCCAATTGCAAAGCCGAATTCGCCTTTACGACATCTATTGAAATTAAATGAAAATATGATTCCAAAATTTCCAAAATTTTTCAAAAAAAATTATTAAAATTGGCTCAATCCACAGAAAATTGGTGCCAATTTGTAGATAATCTTCCACCAGTTACGAATCTGAAATCGTCGTCACGATATCTGTTTCAATAAACACGACAAGTGAATTAAAAATTTTCAAAAATTTTCAAAAAAGAAGGTTAAAATTTGTTCAATGGACTTAAAATTGGTGTCAAATTTTAGATAATTTCTCATCAGATACAAATTTCAAATCGGTGTCGGGATATTTTTCAATAAACACGAAAAGTGATTTCAAAATTTTCAAAAATTTTCCAAAAAAAAGGTTAAAATCTGTTCAATCCACTGAAAATTGGTGTCAAATTGTACAATGCCAATTATAAAACCGAAATAGTCTTCGCGGCATCAATTGAAACAAAATTAAAATATGATTTCAAAATTTCCAAAATGTTTCAAAAAGACGGTTAAAATCCGCTCAATCCACTGAAAATTGATACCAATTTTTAGATAATCCTAAACCAGTTACAAATTTGAAATCGTCGTCACGATATCTGGTTCAATAAAGACGAAAAGTGAATTAAAAATTTTCAAAAATTAAAAAAAAAGGTTAAAATTTGTTCAATCGACCTAACATTGGTGTCAAATTTTAGATAATCTCTCATCAGATACAAATTTTAAATCGGTGTCGGGATATTTTTCAATAAACACGAAAAGTGATTTCAAAATTTTCAAAAATTTTCCAAAAAAAAATGTTAAAATCTGTTCAATCCACTGAAAATCGTGTCAAATTGTACACTGTCAATTACAAAACCGAAATCGTCTACGCGACATCTAGGTATTGAAATAAAATTAATATATGATTTCAAAATTTCCAAAATTTTTCAAAAAAAATGGTTCAATCCACTGAAAATTGGTGCCAGTTTGTTGATAATCTTCCACCAATTAAAAATCTGAAATCGTCGTCACGATATCTGTTTCAATAAACACGAAAATTGAATTGAAAATTTTCAAAAATTTTCCAAAAAAAAAGGTTATATCTGTTCAGTCCCCTGAAAATTGGTATCAAATTCTACAATGCCAATTATAAAACCGAAATCGTCTTGGCGACATCTGTTGAAATAAAAGTAAAATATGTTTCCAAAATTTCCAAAATGTTTCAAAAAAATGGTTAAAATTTGCTCAATCTACTTAAAATTGGTGCCAATTTGTTGATAATCTTCCACCACTTACAAATCTGAAATCGTCGTCACGATATCTTGTTCAATAAATACCAAGAGTGAAATAAAAATTTTCAAAAATTTTCAGTAAAAAATGGTTAAAATTTCAGTCGACCGAAAATTGGTGTCAAATTGTGGATAATCTTCCATCAATTACAAATTCGAAATCGCCGTCATGATATCTGTTTCAATAAACACGATAAGTGAAAACAAAATTTCCTAAAATGTTAAAAAAATGGCTAAAATGGGTTCAATCGACTGAAAATTGGTGTAAAACTGTATATAATCTTCCGCCAGTAACAAATTTGAAATCGCTGTCCGGATCTCTGTTCCAATAAACACCGAAAGTGAATTAAAAATTTTTGAAAATTTTCCAAAAAAATGGTT